TGGGCAGCAAAAGGGCGTCTTATTCAAATGAGGAATAAAAAAGGGAAGTTTTTTCCTATGTATTTTTGCATTGCCTAAATCCGAGATGGGGCCACATCATGATTTTTCGCGCTCATACAAATTATACGAGAAAATTTCACTTTTTATTCCTCATTTAAATAAAGCGTCCTTTTGCTGTCCAACGTTTTGAAGGATTCTGATCACGAAAAACATTAAGTCGAGCCTTCAAAACCTGCATATAAAAAGTCGATTTTGCGGTAATGAAGTGCCTTTTTTACAATCTCTTTTTTGTCTTAAATGTTAGTTTTGCTTATTTACTACTTATAAACACTCTTTTTTTAACTAAAAATAGGGTTAAAATCAGCAGTTGCTTGAATAAGACAGGTTAGAACCGCTCGTCACTATCTATTTACATGAATACTATACCTATGCTGAGGAAAACGTATTTTCTTTGTGGATTCTAGACATAGAATAGTCTAAGTTCACAGAGTGAATATTAAGCGACAATAGTGAAACACTCAAATAATATTACCTTGAAAACGATCCAAGTATTTGCAGTTTTACTTAATAAGCACTTTTGAACAAGTGCTTGTAAAGTGACGAATCAAGTACTTGCACGCTGGACAAGTACTTACAAGTAAATTTACTTCTGGAAAAAAGATAAGTATCGGCTTCATTACGCAAGTGGAGTACTTGCCTCAAGTATCTGGGCACAAGTACGTTCTTTAGGGTATAGGTAGAGAAATTAAAGGTAGTAAGTCATGTGAATGATACATAAAAAACAGAAGCATCCTTAACCTTTTTCCGAAACTAGCACTTTATTGTAAACCAGTTTATTAAATCTAAACGCAAGATATGATTATCAACTACGTAATAAAGAGAAGATAGCAGAGCACAGCATTTTGTCTGTCCGATTGATTCAGAATCGGCAAAAATTCTTATATTTTCAGATAAAAACCTTCAATTCTTCATACCTTTAGAGTTTTATGAGGAGAAATCAATGTATAACTTACCTGAGGATAAATTGTTTCTTCGTCAATAAGGCTAATTATATTTAATTTGCCTCTTGCTAATAAATTCAATATTTCTTCATTATCATTAAATGCAATTTTTGTCCAATTCACTTTTTCTTTCTCATATTCTTCTTGTTCAAGTTTAAACACATGATGAAGAAAAAATTGTTGTAGTTCTTCATTAGTATAATTAATACATAATTGTTCAAAACTAAAAATAATTAAACTCAGCAGAAACAAAAATTGAATATAATTTCATTTTTTGTCTACATACCTGTTGTTTTCAAATTTTTCAAATCCAAATATGTCCAAAACACCAATGGTTCTTAGTGTTTCGTCGGGTTTTGTACTGTTTCCATTTGATTTATTCATGGTCATATTTATTCTACTAATTAACCATTCGAATAATTGACCATAGATTCCTTTGGCAAATGCATCACTAAAAACATCAAAATCGGTGTAAACAAATTTATTGAAAACAAAGAATATTATTAAACAAACCGAACATCGGTTGCTGATGTTAATGCTCTTATTACTTTGACTTGCCCTTGAACAACTAATATTCGTGTTGTTAAAGCTTTATTCAACTGTTCACTATCAACCTACATCAATACGTTTTTAAAATTATATTCGATTACAATAGATGTTAAAAATTCTTACTTTTAACAATAAAGCAATCACTTGCAACAATTTAATATCTTTAATTGTAACATATTCAATATTTTGTTTTGTTTGAGCTATTTATTATAATAAAGATAGTAAAAATTATTTGTATTATAACATCGATACGAACCATTATATTGTAAATTTCCCAAATGTAATACAACCGCTAATATCTGTAATATTTCAAATAATTCATCATCTGTAAACATCAATACTTTAAATGCATTACGAATTGTTTTCCATTCTTCAGCATCATTACGTTTATCAACTTTTATTGAACTCTTAAAATACATAAATAAAATCCATACATTAAACCATGAATGTACAACAAGTATTTACTCTATTTAGATAAGCATAGTCTTGTGACTTTGTTAGATTTAATTTCGTTTTCTCATCATTTCCAAGACCGGCTAGTACATAATAGAAGATATGATAATTACGCTCATCTTTTGCCTGAAAATAAATAGAAACAATATCATACATTATGATTATGAAAATGAAATATTTATTTACTTGTAATACAATACGAGATTTTTCCAATAGATATTGATCAATTTTTGCCCGATCAATTGTGCCGTTTTCATCAAAATAAATTGTGATATATTTTCCAAATCGACTACTGTTATCGTTACGAATGGTTTTTGCATTCCCGAAGGCTAACAAAAAAAGAAAAAAAGAGAAGATGAGAATACAATTTTCATTTAATATATACCAATATTACCTTCCATAATTGGATTTGCCTCTAGTATTTGTTGTTCAATACTTGAATTTTTTTTTGTACCACTAATGGCTGTCATACATTGTAAGATATGTTTTGCTGATTCTGTTTTTCCAGCGCCCGATTCTCCACTAAACATTTTTTTAATTAAGTTTCTTATACATAAGAAATATTTTACTCACCTAATTATAATACATTGATTGTGTTTTTCATTTGGATCAGTTTTTTCTCTTAAAATATTTTGATAAGCATTATCACCTATAGCAAATGTATGCGGTTCTAATTCACCAAATTTTTTATTTCTATAAGCTCTTAAATATTCTGCACTGTATAAATCAAGTAATTTATAAGGATTTATGGCAATTAGAATTGAACCAATGTATGTCTTAAGAACAAAAAACCATTTATAATGATTCTATGTATTTGTTTTCATTGTTTTCACTATATTCGCTTACATAAATTTTATCTTTGTTATAACGTATTTGTAAATTTCTACATATTGCAGTTTCCGTTAAATCATCAAGATGAATCATATCCGTTATATCTTCAAATGACGTTTTGTGCATGTTTTTATATGATCCCGGATTATTTGGAATAGTTCGTTCCTATATACATCAAATGACTTATATCATTATGGTAAGAGAAAAATTAT